ACAACCTGATGGTTTTTGTTGAATCTGGTAAAGAACATCTAGTGTGCAGATTAAATAGATCCGTCTATGGGCTAAAATAGGCCTCTAGACAATGGTATCTAAAATTTGATGAAGTTATCAACTCGCTCGATTTTGTTGAGAATGTCTCATATCAGTGCATCTATTAGAAGTTTGATGGGAACAATTTTGCCATTCTTGTTCTCTATGTTGATGATATCTTGTTATCCAGTAATTCAATAAATTTTTTCAATGAGATAAAGCACCTATTGTCTTGCCATTTTGACATGAAGGACATGGGTGAAGCCTCCTTCATTCTTGAGATATAGATTCATCGTGATAGATCTCGTGGTATTCTTGATTTATCATAGACCACTTATATTGAGCAGGTACTTAAGAGATTCAAAATGGATTCATGTTCTCCCTCACCTGCTCCTGTACAGAAAGGTGAGCTGTTGTCAGAGTTACAGTGTCCCAAGGATGATAAGAAAAGGGCTAAAATGAGAAAGATACCATACCCTTTTGTTATCAGTAGTCTCATGTATGCTCAAGTGTGTACTCGACCAGATATTGCCTTTACCATTGGAGTACTAGGTCGATGCTTAAATGATCCAGGTCCGGATCATTGGAAGGTTGCTAAGAAAGTTATGAGGTATCTTTAAGGTACGAAGAATCATATGTTGACTTACAGAAGGTCAAATTCTCTTGAGGTTGTTGGGTATTCTGATTATGACTTTAAGGGATTAGAAGATCTTGAAATTGTTAGGTTTTCAGATTCAGATTTTGCCTCTTGTCTGGATGATTGTAAATCCATGGCTGGCTATATTTTCATGTTGTCTGGAAGAGCTGTCTCTTGGAAAAGTGTGAAACAGACACTTACAGCAGTTTCATCTATGGAAGCTGAGTATATTGCTTGTTTTGAGACTACATGTCATGCTATATGGCTGAGAAAGTTGATATTTGGCATGCGCCTAGTTGAGTCAATATCACGTCCTCTAACCATTTATTGTGATAACAAATCTGCAGTATACTATGCTAATAATTACAAAAATTCTAGCCGTACAAAGCATTTTGATATCAAACTTATGTTTGTGAAAGAGAAAATTGCTGAGTCTCAGACCCGTGTGGTACACATTTATGGCACGCAGATGCTTGTAGATCCACTGACTAAGGGCTTACCTATAGAAGTTTTTTAAAATCATGTAACTTGTATGGATATTGTGAATTCCTTTGATACTCTGGTTTGGTGGGAGTTTTGAGAATCTTTTGTGTTGCAATTTCTCTTTAGGCTTTGTTTTTTTTCCTTCTGTGAGTTATGTTCAGTTCAGTTAGATGCATCTACATCATTTGTATCCCCATAGGATTCAATGATTCTGTTGTTGTATGCTATGCATGTCACTTGTTTACCCATAGGAATCAGTGATTTATATTGTTATCTTATTGAGCTGTCTTTGAAATAAAATTTCATGTTTTATTTAGATTATGAGATATTATATCACTTATTTTCTCATAGGACTCAGTGATTTTGTGGAGTTTCATTTTCTGAGCTTTGTTTGTGGCTTGTTTATATAACTTGCTTAATTAATACAATCTAAGTGGGAGATTGTTGGAATATTTATTTATTTATGGATTAACATTAATTAATAAGCTCAAACAGATTGGTCTTTATGATCTTGTGTGGACCGTGATAGGAGGACCACACAAGTGAGCCCAATGCGTAGAAGCCTAACCCACAGCCCAATAGCCGTCAGTTATTCACTATCTCTTAATTGACTGAGTCAGAGATAATAAAATAATATAATTTTTAATTATTTAATAAGGTGGTTATATATCTGATCAATATAAATCGATCAATCGATAACCATATATACACGTCTCATTTTCTTTTACTCTATTATCTCTGAACTCTCTAAAGGCTCTGGGGACCTGTGGGTTGTGTATCTGTCTATACTCGAGGTAATCGAGATTTCTCAAGTACTTATGGATTCTTCAGGTACGCATACATCACTTTACTTATTTATATGAATTGAAATATAAAGATCTAACAAAAATTACTTAAATAAATTATTCATGAAGAAAGACTAGTATAAAAATATATTGTTATTAAAATAAAAATGAGGACTTATTTTTTTTAATAAAATTTCTTTTTAATTATTATTTATGAATAATTTACTTGAATAGTTTTTTTTTTTTTTGAGCAAAATACTTGAATAGTTTTTAGATTAAATTTTCCCATCGTAATCGTGGCCTTTCGACCAGTCCCATCTCACCATTCAATCTATTTTTATGTGCGCCCAGACGCCTCCCAACAATCACCATCATCTCTCACTGTCACGCCCCCAATTTATTTACTTATATGTATTATTAATACAGCAGTGGCATTCTCGTGAATTTTCTATCCCTTGAGGGTCATCAACGTACTCCACCCCTGCAGCCCCTCGAAACGCGGCGTTTGCATTCCCAAGTGGTGCTCGGCTAACCATATACATGAATAGTTAAATGGAATAGATAAAATTAAATACGAGAGGACGTAATGGGAAAGGGCACAAAATAGTCCCATATTGTTTTTCAGAGGATAATGTTAAGCAGCAACTAATTGCCACGCATTTTTTCTTTTTATTTCAATTACATACATATGTTACTCATTTATTTAGAAAAACAATACATAAAATTTATCTGAACTTAAAAGATATATATATATATATATATATATATAACTCCTTTATGTATTGAAAATCTACTTTATCTGTATATTTTTTAAATTAAAATTGCTGAAAAAGACCTAGAGATAAAATTATATTAAAAAAAGCCCAACATTTTTCGAAGCAATTAAAATTCTTGATCCGTCAAGTCATTTCTCATTTGACCTTAATTTCTTTGAAGGATTTTGGCCTTTTTTTCAAAAAAAAAAAAAATCTCTTGATCCCTTTTAACAATTTCTGCTCATTTTTATTTGCTTTGGCTACTAAATCTTAAATTAAACCAAGATATCCCTATTTAAAATGAATATTTTTTATTGCTCTCAAATATCCTTCTATTGAAGGCAATTATTTGAACAATTTCATTACTCAAAACTAAACTAATTTAATTCTTATATTTTCAAAAATTGTTTAGTATGTTATAAAGTCAAAAGATTTCCTATGCAAGTGACACTGTATAAACAGGTTAAATGGAAAATTAACCCTTAAATAATAAATTTACAAGTATCTAAAATCTTAAACTTATTTTTGATGCAATATTACCTTTACGGTAACAAAAATTAATTTTGATAGTTACTTAACCAGAAAATGACTTAAAAAATTACAAAATAGAAAAGAATCCAAAAATTGCACAGGAAGACCCAAAAATTATAGAAAAGAACTAAAAGTCAACTCATTTTAGACATATTACACCACTTTAAAATGTTCAAAAGAAAAATTACACCAAAAATGAATTTAAGGTTCTATATGCTCCAAGACTTGGCTTATAGTTTGGGAGTAAATTTGTAATTTAACCTATACGAAATTCACTTTCAAAGACATATTTGTTATATATTTTGGTCCTTATTACAAAGCATCTCTAACTACATCATTGAAACTAAGAAGAGATATTTAATTTATTAAATTTGTCTAAAAATATAATAAATTTTTAATTTTATTCCTATTAAATGAGAAATTTTTAAAAGTTAGATTCCATTCTCTCTTATACTTAATGAATTTAAAAATGAGTAATATTGAAAAAAAAATATAATTAACATAATACCGTTATACTAAGAAGCGAATAATCTTCATAGAAAGCACCTTGTAATAGGTTCTCAGATTATAATTAAAAAATTTTAAACGCATTGATTTCAATTTATTTATTTGGGAATCTTTAAACTCAATCACAAGTTACATCTTTTGAACATGGATATTTCTCAATTTCATTCTCCAAATTATAAAAAAATAGAATTTTTTTATCTTATAAAGAGCTTTTTGTGTATTTATAGAATTTATGTAATCTAATTTATCAAAAGAAAGAATTTATATAGACTTAATTAAAGCTTAAAAAATTGCTACTTTGACCATTCACTCTATTTTTAAGGTCATTTCCCATTAACATAAATTATATCTTTTTGGACTGGAATATTTTTATTTAACATAAATATTATTTTACCGGTAAAAAAAACATAAATATAATTTTAAATTAATCATTGAAAAAGTTATCTGACGGAAAAAAAAATTCATTTCAACACATGTTTCAAAATTGAAAGAACTCACCAGCAGCAAAATGTTTTCTGAGGAGGCAAGGCTCCAGCTCAGATCGTACTCATTCTCACCCTCCGACGGCAGCATTAACCATGCCAAGAGCTTCTTGAGCAATAGGAGGAGTGAGTTGAAGATCTAATGAAAAATCACAATGAAGTACCTGTTAATACTACTAATAATCCAAAATTTTAAAATTAATTAAATTTAAGCTGTCAAAAAGATGTATTTGACTAAAAGATTGATAACGTGTCAAAAAGTATCTTGTGAGTTCAAACCTCATAAGATGTATTTTTGTATATCATTAGAGCAATTGAGATCCTAGCACAGGTTCTAATAATCACAATGAGGTACCTGTTAATACTACTAATAATCCAAAATTTTAAAACTAATTAAATTTAAGGTGTCAAAAAGATGTATTTGACTAAAAGATCGATAACGTGTCAAAAAGGATCTTGTGAGCTCAAACCTCATAAGATGTATTTTTGTATATCATTAGAGCAATTGAGATCCTAGCACAGGTTCCCCAGGTGGGACCGGACGACCGAAAAGTCCAACTCAAAATGGATTAGCTTAGTCTCCAGACGTCATCGGAGCAACTGAGATTCCAGCACAGTTTCAAATCTCAAATCTCCTTAACTTTCAAAAGTTCAAAGTAGTATATATTATATTGTCATCACTCAATAGCATATTATATTGTCATCACTCTCATTTCTATATAAATACCCACACGTCCGCTCTTTAGATCTCATTTTCATATCTCTTTCTTTCTCTGGGATACACAAATCACACGTATCCTCTTGTCTTCCCGCTACTCTGCTTCCTGAGATCTCCGGCGAACAAATTCTGGACGAGGGATGGTGCGCCTAGGAGCAAACAATAGGCCAACTCTACTACAGGTGAGCCCTCTCAACGTTTTTTTGTTCGATTAAGTGGTGAGAAAATGTATGGTTTAGTTAGTTGATCCCCCCCTGTTTTTTTGGGGTAAGTAAAGAGGGCCAAAGGCATTCTCTACCTGCATCTGTCCCTCTTCTGGCTTTCGCCATCTTTCCCCTTTTTGTATGCAGAGCTTAAACCATTTCCTTTCACCATTTTTCGAATCCCGCATAGTATCCGGGAAGACAGCACCATGATATGCCCCTTAAATTTAATTAATTTTAAAGTTTTGGATTATTAGTAGTATTAACAGGTTCTTCATTGTGATTTTCCATTAGATCTTCAACTCACTCCTGCTATTGCTCAAGAAGCTCCTGGCATGGTTAATGCCGCCGTCGGAGGGTGGGAATGAGTATGATCCGAGCTGGAGTCTTGCCTCCTCAGAAAACATTCTGCTGCTGGTGAGCTCTTTAATTCGATTGGTTTGGTGTGGGTTCAGGGGTTAGATAGTTGGGGTTAGTTATGTTGAGTTTAAAAATATAAAAAATATCTATTAATTAAAATTGTATCGATATAAATCGCATTGATCAATTCATCCATCTATATTAAATTTTGATTCAATTAGGTCATCCTGTCACCCACACACCCACACACACACAAGCCAACATCTATATTTAAAAGTTCTCGCAATTAAGCCAGTTTAAATAAACGTGTCTAAATTTTAAAATTATAAAACTAATTAAATTTGTAATATGATAAAAAAATTTGAAACGTGTGTTGAAATGATTTTTTTTCCGTTAGATAACTTTTTCAATGATTTTAAAATCATATTTATGTTAAATAAAAATATTCTAGTCCAAAAAGATATAATTTATGTTAATGGAAAATGACCTTAAAAATAGAGTGAATGGTCAAAGTAGCAATTTTTTAATCTTTAATTAAGTCTATATAAATTCTTTCTTTCGGTAAATTAGACTACATATAAATACAAAAAAAAGCTCTTTATAAGATAAAAAATTATCTTTTTCTTATAATTTGGAGAACAAAATTGAGAAATATCCATGTGTGAAAGATGTAACTTGTGATTGATTTTAAAGATTTCTAAATAAATATATTTAAATCAATGCGTTTAAAAATTTTTTATTACAATTTGAGTACCTATTACGGGGTGATTTTTATAAAGATTTTTTGCTTCTTAGTATAAGGGTATTATATTAATTATATATATTTTTTTAATATTACTCATTTTTAAATTCATTAAGTATAAGAGAGAATGGAATCTAACTTTTAAAAATTTCTTATTCAATACGAATAAAATTAAAATTTTATTATATTATTAGACAAATTTAATAAATTAAATATCTTTTCTTGGTTTCAATGATAAAGTTAGAGGTGTCGTATAACAAGGATCGGATTATATACTAAATATATCTTTGAAAATAAATTTTATATAAGGTTAAATTGCAAATTGACCTCTAAATTATAAGTCTAGGAGTATATGGAAATTTATTTTTGGTGCAATTTTTCTTTTCAACATTTTAAAATGGTGCAATATGCAAAAAATGAGTTAACTTTTACATTATTTTCAATAATTTTTGGGTCATCATATGTAATTTTTGGATTCTTTTTTTGGTAATTTTTAAGTCATTTTCTGTCAATTTTTGATTAACTAACCATCAAAATTAATTTTTGTTAATTGTGAGGGTGACAATGCACCACAAATAAGTTTAAAATTTTAAATACTTTTGGATGCATTATTTAAAGATTAATTTGCCATTTAACCCTTTCATATATTGTCATTTGTATAGGAAATCCTTTAACTTTATAACGTAATAACCAATTTTTGAAAATATAAGAATTAAATTAGTTTAGTTTTGACTAATGAAATTGTTTGAATAATTGCCTTCAATAGAATACTTGTAAGTAATAAAAATATATTCATTTTAAATAGAGATATTTTAGTTAAAAATTGATATTATTATTTTGTAGCCAAAGTCAAATAAAAATGAGGAGAAATTGTTAAAAAAGACCAAGAGATAAAATTATTTGGACAAAAAGGACCAAAATCCTTCAAAGAAATTAAGGTCAAATGAGAAATGACGTGACGGACCAAGAATTTTAATTCCTTTGAGGAATGTTGTGACTTTTTTCTAATATAATTTTATCTATGGGTCTTTTTCAGCAATTTTTCCTCAAAAATTATACAGATAAAAAAAATTTCAATGATTAAAGGAGTTATATATATAGATATCTTTTAACTTCAGATAAATTTTATGTATTATTTTTCTAAATAAACGAGTGACAAATGTATGTAATTGAAATAAAATATAAAAAAAAATGCATGGTTATTGGTTGTGGCTTAATGCTATCCTCTGAAAAAGAATGTGGGCGTCATATTTAATTTCATCTATTCATTTACCTATTCATGTGGTTAAACTTGATATAAAGAAATAATGTATTGATAAAGGCTTGTGCCTACACAGTGTATACTCATATATATGACTTCATGCATTGTTCTTTACAGCAAAGAGAGACAACTTATTACAGCAGCAGCCATGGCCACAACTTCCACTCAATGCGAGATTCTGCTACGTCCTTCAATGCTAAAAACTTCAATTTCTATCGTGAAGCATTTCCCTCCAACTCGATCTTCGCTCCCTTGATTATAGTTCTACTTAGCTTCCTTCAAATACGAAGTTCAATTAACAATCCTACACCATTCGAACTTGATCCTATAATCTTCATGGCTTCTCTTGTATGTTCAGTGGCATATTACTTCACTATAAGAGCGAAGTTCATGTTTCGTGATTTTGCTTCTTGGTTTGAAGTGCTTGCATCAGTGTCTGGCTCTTTGGCTGTTGCTCTTTTGATATGTTTGATTCTGCAGCTTCCATGGTGGTCCGTTTTCATTATTTTGTTACTTCTGGGTGGATTCCTCATGTTTCTCAACAAAATTCACAAAGGAAATGGCGTTAACGACGTGGTCCCCAGCCAAGAGTCAAACAACGCTTGCCACTACACAATTAATGTTGTATCCGATCACTAGAGCATTAAAGATCGACTCAGAAGACAATTCTTAGCTTTCCCTATCTGATGATTGGTATAGAGGCCATTTGGTTGTTGATAACATGAAGGGAAGATAGGTATTGATCAATAATTATGTACGCAATTTACATGAGATGAGGAGTCATGGTGCATGAAATTTGTTGAGGATGCTGTAATTTCTATATTTAAGATAAATATACAAGTTTCTTATCATCCTAAAATGAAAAATGTGCAACAATGTATTAAGATATTTTGATCAAACTAGAAAGCATACCTTCTACTTTTTGGCCTCGAGTAGTGCTTTACCTTAGCGTATTGTATTTTCATTTACCTTCTTCTTGCATACACAATGAAAATGATGGAAGTAAGAGAAGAAGATCAAACAGTAAGTACACTATTGTGTAGATCCTAGAGGTATTCACAGAAATTATCTGATAATCAAAAGAATGATGAAAATGTTCGACCCATTTGTTTTCCGGTGAAAGCATGGTGGGAAAGAGAATTTTTATTTTTATTCTTGACTCGATTGATTAAGAGCATGTTTGAATCTGGAAACCAAAAAGAATTGGTTGTCATGTCTCATGCTGGAGAGACTTGGAAAGGATTCTGACTTTATAAGCAGGTATGCTATATATTCTAATGAGTTAGCTTTTTGAAAAGAAAGTAATAGCCCCGTTACATGGCAGACACTTAACGTGTACCTTGTTCCTCGTCGAAAATATCCATCTGGCCGCTTCTCTTTTCTGCTGTCGATCTGCTTCGCTACTATCGGTTTGAATTGGCTCTTGCTTTTCTGCTGTCGATCTGCTTCGTTGCTAACGGTCAAGTTATATAGCCTCTGAGTCTGAGAGGGAAAAAATTAACAGTACACGGGTTGTGATTGTGAAGATCTATTATATATAGGAAGTCAGAGATCTAATCACAGTATATGATAGAAGAATGATGAAAGTGTTTAATCCATTTGGTTTCTGATAAAAACGTGGCGAGACAAGAATTTTTATTTTTTTGACTTTTGATTAATAGCATGTTTTAATCTGGAAGCCAAAAATCCCCCCCCCCCCAAAAAAAAAAAAAGAGAGAGAGAGAGATCTGGAAACCAAAAAGGGTTGGTGGACTCTAACAGATACCTTGTTTCTGTGCGTTGAAAATATCGATCTGGCGGCTTCTCCTTCGTTCAGCCATGTTCTTCTCTTTTCTGCTTCGTTGCTACCTGACTCATGCTTTGCTCTCTCTGATTCTGTACTTGAAGCAACGGAAGCTTATTTTGGTTTTGATGGAATTAAACATTTTTTTTCTTTGGAATAGTAGATATTAACTTGCCTTCTTGCTTAATAGCAGAGTTGACTGGAAGTTATATCCCAAAAAAAAAAAAAGCACGCCTTAAATTTTATTCATTCGCTCCCTTCTATCATTATTACAAGGCATTTCTAGCCACCTTATAGAAATTAAGAGGAGGTGATTAAAATATTAACTTTGTTTTTTTTTAAAAATACTTTTTTATTTTTTGGGGCTTTTGTAGATATAGCTCATGTTATAAAAGTAAACAACTTAACATTTATTATATTTTATATTATGATCAATTTATTATATTTGTCAATGATATATCATTGTATATCAATGATAAACTCCTTATATATCAATGTAAATGGGCCATACTCTCAAATTTTAAAAAAATTTGATCCATATTTTATAGGTACAAGGTTTTTTGCAACCAATGGACTAATTTATCTTATTTTTATCTATACTTAAATGAAAAAGATTTCAAATTTTTATTACATTTTCTCTCAAAATTAATGAGTTTAAATAGGAAAAATTCTTGCTTGGACTCGATATATGAACCAAGCGTTCGTACACTTAGTAATTTAAATTAAATTAACTAATTATATAGTAAAGTGGCAACTTAGGTCAATTCCCAAAGAGATGTTTAAATATTAAATGTTAGATTGGGGGGTGCAACAGAAGAAAAAAAAAAATTAAATCCTCAATCACAATCACGGACCAATCAAACTCGTTTAAGTCAAGGTGAATAGAAAAATTACTTTTCAGATGTTGAATTTTTGAGCTTCCTTCAAATGTTTGGATCTCAAGAGTTGACAACAAGATTAGCTTCCTCTACTGATATCCACACAAACAAATTTCTAACATGAACAATGTGTTAGCGCTCCCAATATCTGACGTTTGTATGAACAGAAGCCTTAAAAGATCTAATCTTTTAGCCTCAGTCAGATGCTCTTTTCTTTTCTAAGTTTTTTTTTTCTTTTTGTGGCTCTCACATTTTGTGCCATCAAGAGACTCTCAATCAACTCACTTATGAAGCACATGCCCTTTATCGATATTATATTAGAGTTTTGTCTTCCTTTATGAATTTTCAAAAATAATCATGAGTATTTTGAAATTCATATCTTGAGCTAGCAAAAATAAAATTAAATTTATCTCATAAATTTAATCTATAATATCATATTTAATTCAAATTATAGAACTGATATAATATCTTCTTATATCATGTCAGTTATTAAATTTAATCTACCGTATAAAACTAACACAATATATAATATAATATAAGATATACATATTATATTATATATATGCACAAATATACATGAATATATATATATATATATATATATTATATTGAATTTTATATATCACATACATACATACAAATACTCCCTCTGTTTAAAAATATAAAGCATTTTTTGAAGAGTTAGATATTAAAAAATGCAAAAAAAAAATCTTTTAATGTGTAATCATTGCCTTTTCTTTTCAAAAGTACCCTTATTAATGAATGATTTTATATTTATTGTAGGATGTTTAATAGGGGTAAGAATGAAAAGATAGGATTAGTTAAAAAGTAGATAACTATTTTATTGAGAGATAAAATTTGATTAAAAATATCTTATATTTTTTAACGAAGGGAGTATTAAATATACATATTCACATGAACATATATATTTTGAATATATATATATAATTATATTTTAAATTTTATATTCCATATATATATCAAATAAATATTTAAATGTGTGTGTGTGTGTGTGTGTATAAAATGTTCACCCAAGATAATGCATTACATTCATTGAATCTAGACACATAAACTTAGACATTATAGCTAAAGCCGGGCTGTTCTTGTGTGCAACCATATAGACCCATATAAAGTTGGCAGTAAGCTAATTAAACTACTAGCTCACAAGTCACGAGTGACTTATAATAAGACATTACAACTACTCAATTCATATAGAAATTGATGATTTAATGTAAATTATTATATAACTGTATCACATTCGTTTTGTCATGCAATATTTTGGTTAAGTGTGAAACATGAAATTGTCCTTCTCCTTTACATCGCCATTACTTTCTCAATCTTTGAGTGGACTGACTATAGCAATGAAAAAATCCTTTCCATTATAATATGACCATACTTTTTTTTAGTGAGGTCTAGTAATATCTCTCAATTAATATGAGGAATAAATTTCATCTTAACCACTCATATTACTCTGTATGAATATTACTAAACTCAATCATAACCTTTATGATCATCAAGTTAAAGGTGACTTTTGACTAAGTTAAAGTTCAGTGGTCATCATGTAAAAATCCATAATAATCTCAGGTCAAAGGGCTTAGTAACATGATTACATATGGGATAAGTTTTTGACTTATACCATGCAGCTTTCTCATAGCGGGTCGATCCAGCTTCTCGAATTCTTTCAAGTTCCTTCAACTTTAATTTATATCTCTATAATTAATCAAAAGCATTCTTGTCTTGTTTCATCTATGATCCCTTATAGATAAACAACTAGGAAAATTTAGGACATCACTATTGTTTATCTAAGGATAAAGTTATTATAGTGAACATATAATTAATATGATAATAAAAGAGAAATTTGTTAAATATCAATCTTCATAGTACAATGATTGACCCTATGGCACAATTTTCAACATTAAATTCAAAGCTTGCTAATGCAATTTAATTAAATTAAAAATCCCAAGAGTTGATTGATTTTAAGTAATTTAAACTAAAACACTTAATAACCTAATTAAAGCTTAAAGACCTAAACTAATGAGCTTGTGAAAATGAGATGAAATAGAGTACCTAAAGTTAGATTAATGCTCAAATCCTAATCATTTATAAATTATAAATTAGTCACTCTTAATTCTTCTCTTCATAACCAAATTATGAAGCTACTAGGATAATTCTCTCTAGCAACTTAATCTCACTAGGGACCCTAATCAAGCCTTGGATTCTAAAGCCCAATTCAATTCTCTAATTTAGTTTTAGGTTCAAGTTAGGTGATTAATGAATAATTCCAACAAGTATGATTAGCACTTTACACCCCCCAAATGACTCCCAACATTATGGTGGATCACAAGCATGTCTAACAAACACTTCTTAGGATTTTGATGAAGCATAAGCTAGGTTAAAATACTCAAGAATATTCAAAATTATGACACATTCAAGAGTGGATAAAATATATAGCTCAATATATGAACTGAAATTTAACAATAGTCAAATCAATCTCTCCATACAAAAATATTAATCAAGATTATGATTGTAAAGTCAAGACATAGCAATTCAAAATTATAATCTTACAAGTCTATTAATGGAGAAAAATTTAAAAAAAATAAAAGGGTTGCAAAATTGAAGACCTAAGTAGTTTTATTGAGCTTCCATCCTTGTCCAACCACCCAAAACAATTTATCCTTCATAGTTCTTTAAGTTTTTCATGAAAAGCTCAAGTTGGCCAAATCCCTTCTTGGAACCAAGTAGAGAATGAATTATGAAATGAATGATTAAGTGGTAGGGATGTGTTGAGAGGAGGAGAATGTCAGTGATTTGATGATGATCCAATAGTTAAATGAAGAGAAATAGAGGAGAGAAGGGGGCTGTCATGGCTAGAATTTGAGAGAAAATGAAGAACATGAAAAACAAGCATTATAACAAAAAAAAAAGGAATAAATGATGGTTATTTTTGCTTATATATAACGGGTAAGAATCGTCATATA